GTTTCTTTGTATATTATATTAATAGAATATGTGATGTTATAGATTAACATTATGTTGTTGGGGTCCCTGCCAGCCAGGTGACTTACAGCCTCACTAAACCAAGTGCCAATGAGGTTCAGTAAAGCTGAGATTCAAACTGTTTTCTTTATTCAGCTGAGCAAAGTAATCGGGTATCCGCTCCTACAGGCAGGCAGGCAGGCAGGCAGGCAGGCAGGCAGGCAGGCAGGCAGGCAGGCAGGCAGCAACACACACACACACACACACACACACACACACACACACACACACACCTCTTTTTTTCTCTCTTTTCCACTCAATCCCACCCTATTGTTCCCTCACCCAAGCCCCTTGCGGGGTCTGCCTGACCCTCCACCCAAGCCCCTCGCAGGGTCTGCCTGACCCTCCACCCAAGCCCCTTGTGGGGTCTGCCTGACCCTCCACCCAAGCCCCTCGCGGGGTCTGCCTGACCCTCCACCCAAGCCCCTCGCGGGGTCTGCCTGACCCTCCACCCAAGCCCCTCGCGGGGTCTGCCTGACCCTCCACCCAAGCCCCTCTCGGGGTCTGCCTGACCCTCCACCCAAGCCCCTCCCGGGGTCTGCCTGACCCTCCACCCAAGCCCCTCTCGGGGTCTGCCTGACCCTCCACCCAAGCCCCTCTCGGGGTCTGCCTGTCCCTCCACCCAAGCCCCTCTCGGGGTCTGCCTGACCCTCCACCCAAGCCCCTCGCGGGGTCTGCCTGACCCTCCACCCAAGCCCCTCTCGGGGTCTGCCTGACCCTCCACCCAAGTCCCTTGCGGGGTCTGCCTGACCCTCCACCCAAGTCCCTTGTGGGGTCTGCCTGTCCCTCCACCCAAGCCCCTCTCGGGGTCTGCCTGTCCCTCCACCCAAGCCCCTCGCGGGGTCTGCCTGACCCTCCACCCAAGCCCCTCGCGGGGTCTGCCTGACCCTCCACCCAAGCCCCTCTCGGGGTCTGCCTGACCCTCCACCCAAGCCCCTCCCGGGGTCTGCCTGACCCTCCACCCAAGCCCCTCTCGGGGTCTGCCTGACCCTCCACCCAAGCCCCTTGCGGGGTCTGCGTGCCCGCTGCATGCCTGGCCCCGTGAAGGCCCCTTATCCGCATCCAGGGGGTGGGGGGTGCCAGTCCTTGCCTGGGGGGCCTCCTCTCACTCGCTGCCGCTTCTCACCATTCCTTTGCCTTCTCCCTTTTCCTCTCCAGAGCAAGCCGTTATTTATTTATTTATTTATTTATTTATTTATTTATTTATTTATTTATTAAAACATTTTTATGCCGCCCCATTCGCCGAAGCCTCGGGGCGGCTTCCAACATAGATAAAACAATCAGTTAAAATATCCATATAAAATCATCTTAATTAAAACACACATTATAAAATAAAATAAAATAAGCCGCCCTGGCCAGATAAAATTCAATTGTATTTAGCATTTAAAATGCCGCTTAAATAAAAAGGTCTTCGCCTGGCGCCGAAAAACAAATAACGACGGCGCCAGGCGGACCTCTCTGGGGAGCGCATTCCATAACTTAGGCGCCACCACTGAGAAAGCCCTCCTCCGAGTAGCCACCCTCCTAATTTCTCTCACGGAGGGCTCCCGGAGCAGGGCCTCTCCCGCCGATCTCGGGGGGCGATTGGGCAAATATGGATGTAAGCGCTCCTTCAGGTAACCAGGACCCAAGCCGTTTAGGGCTTTATAGGTCATCACCAACACCTTGAATTGGGCCAGAAAGCAAATGGCGTTTACCAAGCTTTCATGCAAGCAGCTGTTTCCAAAAGCGAATAGCGTTAGTTAAGCTAATCAGGCTCCTTCGATATAACATATATTAAGATAATATCAGCAATAACAATATATGTATATAATACACATCACACACACACAAAACATTAATATTAATAGACCAGAATGGGGAAAATGTGATTAATGGCTGATTGTGAGGCTTACCACATGCATCCTTATAGGGAACTATACATGGACAGAAGTCTGACGAGGAAACCCAAGAAAATAGCATTTTTGAAAAACTTGCCCTATAGTTTGTTTTGCACAACAATATTCCCTCATCTCAGGTGAGCTTAAGTGACCTCCGGGGGATGGTGGAGGACAGGAAGGCCTGGAGAAATGTTGTCCGTGGGGTAGCAATGGGTCGGACGCGACTTCCCAATTAATACCAACAACGACAATTCCCTCATCCAGCTGTCCTAGTCATTTTACTGTTGCCAGCTTAAGAAGGTCATTAAAGAAATCAGATTACACAGGATGTGAGAGAAGTGGTTCTGGATATGGTTCCTATTAGTAGGAGATTTCCAAGGTCCCCTTTTGAGTACGGAGACTTTGTTGCGTGCGCTCTTGCACCATTTCTGCTTTGCCCTGAAAAAGTCTTAAGGACTAGCAACATTGTGCACTTTTTAAAATGCAATCCAAAATGCACATTCTCCACAGGACTTCAAAGCCGTGTGGCACAAACATGGACGAGAGATGGCTTTCAGGGTGTCATGGGGGTGCGCAGAGAGAAACCATTTTCTTTTCCCAGTGCTTTAAGGTTTTTAATCTGAGTTTTCTTGTCAATTGGTTAAGGATTTGATTAGGAGGCTGCGTTTGAGTCTATTTGTTCTTATTGTTCTGTTGATTCTTATTGTTCGACTGTTCCAAGACTACAGTAAGGGACGGCTGAAAAAAGTTTTCAAGAAGCAAATGAATGAGAACACATGAAAATAATGAATGAATAAATGAAAATAAAGGGACTCAGCTTCTGAGTGGGGCCAACCTGGCCTCTGGGGTTGTGCTGCCAGGGGTCCCCGAGGCCGCCAGACCTAACTGACATGCAACCAGTTCAAGTCTGGTCCAATTGTGTGTCCTCCGCTTTCAGAACACAGCGTTGTTGGCGGCCTCGCCGGAGAGGCTGCTGCATCTCCATCCCTCTTCTCTCAGCACTGCTAGCCAGCAAGGCTTTTCCTTTCTCACTTGCTGATCCGCCAGGGGGTTCAGAGTCAGGCACCCAACCACGGCCCCTTAGGGCTGGCTTGCCCTTCCTGCACCCCACCTGCCGTGGGACTGCTCCCAGCAGCACTCAAAGGCCCCATTTACCTTGTTGAGCCAACGTGGACACCTTGGCCACGTAATGGATTTCCTCCACTCCGGCAGGAATGTATGAGGCAAGGGAGGTATCCAACCTGTGAGAGCTTTTCTGGTTTTTATGAGGCCCCCCTCCAGAGCGTGGTATGAAACAGGCATTGAGGAGAAGGGCAAATGCTCTTTTGGGATGCATGGACCTCCAAATCATGGGACGTGGTAGTTCCTCTGTACTCCTCACCTGGATCCTGTGTCCAGTTCGGGGCAGCAAGATTGAAGAAAGATGCAGGGACATTTGAAAGGGTCCAGCGGAGGGCAACAAAAATGATCCAGGGTTTGGAAACGCTGCCCTGCGAGGTGAGACTGAGGGAACTGGGCATGTTCAGCCTTGAGAAGACTGAGGGGGGACGTGAGATCCCTCTAGAAGGACCTCAAAGGCTGTCCCAAAGAGGAGGGTCAAGATCTCTTCTTGCTGATGCCGGAGTGTAGGATGCAGAATGATAAGTTCAAGTTGCAGCAACTCAGATTCAAGCTGGACATCCGGGAAAGCTTCCTTACAGTCAAAGCAATACGGCAATGGAACCAGCTGCCTGGAGAGATGGCGGCTCTCCCACACTGGAGGCATCCGGAAAGAAACTGGGCAGCCTTCTGAGTGGGAGGGTGTAACGTGGTGTCCTGCAACAGCAGCGGGTTGGACTTGATGGCCTTCAAGGCCCCTTCCCACTCTACTGTTCCATGATTCTGTGATAAAAGGAGACAATGCTTTTGAGGACAGGGCTGGAGAGGCAGAGGGCCTTCAGTCCAGCATCCAGTGCTGGTTCCCCCACCTTCTCCAAAAAACCTCCTTTCAGGGAAGCAAGTCTGACTGGACAGGGGGGTGCTGGGAGCCCTTTCTGCCAGCTCCACCACAGAGAGGCTGGTGAGCAAGAAGCTTTCACTGGCATGGGCTATCACCTCCCTCTCCTCGGGGTCCAGGGTAGATTCAAGAGCATGTCGCTTCCCAGGTGGAAGAACCTGGCATCCTCCAAAGACCGAAAACAAGCACTGGGCTTTCACATAGTCCTCCTTTGGAACATGGGGAAGCCCGCTTAGCCAATGTGGGATGGCACATGGAAGAAGGGGTCCATTCTTGGCTTTGCCAGGGCTCGTGGAAAGCCCTTTACCCATTAACACTATTTTTCCAGCAACAGAAAAATGAAAGCTCGGGGAGTGGGTGCAAAACTCACGACAGACTTGAAGTCTAACAAGGCACGAGACACAAGGAAAGATGGATGGGGAAGGTAGAGGAAAAGTCCAGCAGAGGCTTAGCAGTGCTGGGGAACAGCCTTGCTTACTTCCTTGCGGTGTGTTGGGGGCTGGCCTGGCTGCTCTCTGTCCTCACCCTGGTTTCAACAGTCAGATTTTTACTTGGGCTGTTTCATGCCATGCTCTAATTTTACTCACCTGGAGACTGAGGGAATGGGGCCTTTTCAGCCTGGAGAAGAGACTCAGAGGGGATCTGTTGGCGACATACAGGTACGTGAGGGGGTGTCACACGGAGGTGGGGAGAGACCAGTTCTCCCCTGCAGAGGAAGGCAGGACGCGCTCCAACGGAGCAAAGCTCCGGGAACCCAGGTTCAATTTCGATGCTGGGATGTCCTTCCTGACAGTCAGGACCCCGAGGGTGTGGAATGGGCTTCCACGGGAGGTGGCTGAAGCCCCATCGGTAAGGATATTCAAGGATAGGCTGGACATGCACATGGCAGGCGTGTCGTGAGTGGAGCCATCTGGAATCAGGGTCAGACTAGATGACTCGGGAGGCCCCCTCTGCCTTGCTCAGTTTTTCTGATTCTCCTCTCCAGTTTGTGGCACCATCATGGACCTGCCAGCCGTAGTTGCAAAGCCGGCGCTGGAAGGGCAGAAAGGGCCGTCCGTGCCTGGTAGGTCACTTTGGAAGGTGACCCTAACAACCATCCTCGTTGGCACCCTGACGGCTGCATGTGGTGGAATCCTGATGGGTGAGTCCCTGGTGGAGATTTCTAGTGCTTCTCAACCCCAAAGGTCCCCCATGCAGCAAATGCATGCCAAGGAGAAGGCTCCTGCTTCTGACTTGTCCTCTCCACCAAGTTGCTCCAGAAGAGCCTCAGTTTCCTCTTCTCCCCAGCATTCCTGGTCCAGCAAGAAGGACCATTTGAGCACGTGGTGGAGCTGCAAGGGATCCGCTATGAGACCAGCTTGCAAAACCTGAGTTCAGAGTACTACCGGACACTGACACCTGTTTTGGAGAGGCTGGTAGGTCGACCCCGCAGGGTAGGAAGCCTCTTCCTGCTTCTCTCCAAAGCTGGGAGGGTCTTGGGAGGAAGGACTGCCTCTGGGGTTTGCGAGCCCACAAGTCGGCCCCACAGCATCTGGCTCGTCCCTGTTTCCAGGCGTTTTTATGAATGTCAACATGCTTTCTCTGCTCATTTTAGGCTGCCAGAGTTTAGGCATACAGTCTTGAGGATGTGGCACAGAAGGAAAGGGGGGAAGAGGAGGACGGGGTAAACAAGAGCAAAACGGAGGCACAGTCCTTAGTTGGAAAGGTGGCATCATTTTAGGGACGTCCAGAACCCGTTTATGGTGGAGTCTTTTTCTTGAATGCTTTTCTCTGGCAAGGCTGCCGGCCTCCTCCTCCATCAGCCAACCCCGGTTAGACTTGGCCCAGGGGGTCCTGCCACTTCCCACTGGTTTCAGACCTGTTCTAAGTGGGGTTTCGCTTATTGCTAAATGTCAGGCTGCTGTGTTTTAATTCTCTTTTCCTTTCCGTACATTTTACTGTTGAGCTGTCCTGAAACGTCAGCAACAGGGTGGTCAACAAAAGTTTGAAATACATCAAAATAAATAAGTAAATACATACATACTGCCAGGGATGCAAAGCAAGGCCCTGCCACTGACCGAGTATTTCTAGTCCTCATGGTTTTGAAAAGGGGCTGGCTACTTTAGGAACACAGGGAGCTGCTCCATACTGAGATATCCTGCATGCAAGTGTGGGTTGGCTCCTTGCCGACATCTCCTTCAGCATCAACTCCTTAGGGCATAAATCATTCAGACTGTTATCATCAAAAGACCCTAAACGACTAATTAAACACGACCCTGTAAGATCCATCCCTTTGTTTCCATTCCTAATTACTGCCTTAGGGTGCCCTTAACAGCCCTTCACTTCCAAAGCGCTTATAAAGGTAAAGGTTTCCCCTTAATGCTAAGTCCAGTCATGCCTGACCTGTTTCCTGGCCGAGGGAGCCGGCGTTTGTCCGCAGACGGTCTCCGTGGTCGTGTGGCCGGCACGACTGAACACCGAGGTGCAGGAACGCTGTGACCTGCCCACCGAAGTGGCACCTTTTCATCTCCTTGCATTTGCTTGCTTTCGAGCTGCGAGGTTGGCAGGAGCCGGGACGGAGCAACGGGGACTCACCCCGTTGTGCGGATTCGAACCGGCGACCTTTCGATCAACCAATCCAGCAGCTCAGCAGCTTAAACCACTGCGCCACCTGCATACTAACCGGCCGTTATTCCCATATTCCTCTTGGATTATATTTTTCTCTGTTTGTTATACTGTGAACTTAGAGAAAATGTTTTGTCTTGTTCACTCCCCGCCTCCAATGCCTGCTCCAATCCTCAGATGTGACTGTTCTTGTTGTCAGATGTTGATGTGTCCGACTGAGTCTCTCTTTTTCCGCTTGCAGCTCCCGTTCCCCAGAAAATGAGACCAGGTTTTAGGTTAATTCTTGCTCCAAAAGACGCGTCAGGGCTTATTTTCAGGCGGTGTCTTTTTTTTCCTTCTGAGAGCCGTGAGATTCCTGCCCCTAGAAGCCTCCACGATCCCTTCTTGTCCTCGACAGAATCACTCGCTCTTTTGCACCCATCTCATGGAGGGGTTGGGGGCCAAAATAGGATTCTCTTTAAATCTACCATTAAATCAGGTGTTCATTGAAGAGGCAGGAGTGGCAACACACGAGTGCCTGAAGCAGGTCCATCACAACACACAACGTATCGAATTATGGAACACGCGCATTTGTTATGAAGTGTGCACGTTATCCGTGTGTCTGTCCTCCAATCAGTCATTCGTCAATGAGTCTCGTGTTCATCTGTTTCCACAGGCGTTCGCCTCTTGTCCAATGGCGCCCGCTTGGGGATTTGCAAATACTTGATCGTACTGTATATTATCAATCATTTTAAGCATTGGTATCAATATTATTTATTTATATTTAATTCTATATCAATATTATTTCAGAATTCAACATGTCCATCATGGGCTGCAGGGGACATCCTAAATGCGTCCATCTGGCTGATAATCTGAACTGGGGCTTATTTTTGGGGTTGGGCTTCTATTCTGAACATTTGGAAAAATCATGCCAGGGCTGATTTTCCAGTAAGGTCTTATTTTTGGAGAAATAGGGTAAAAAGATAACAACTGGGGAGGCTTTGAAGGGGACGCTGTCCCGAATCACACCTGCTCCATCTTCTAATACGATATTTTAATATGTTTAACTTATGGCTTTATTTGCTAATTCAGTGTTTTGCCTTGCGAATTGGCAACGGCCAACGGCTAAATGCGAGAGACTGATTGACTGACTCCAGAGTGACACCGTCTCCCCACCAGACCCCTGCCTGGTTTTGGGATGGGGACACTGCTCCACTTCCTCCTGCTTTGCCTTTCAGTTCCAGAGCAGTTTTCCGAGCTCCCCACTGGAAGCCAGGTGCTTGAGGTGCACTATCCTACAGTACAGGTTAGCGCCCTCCAGCCCCTTCCCTGCTCCTGCTACAGATGTGGGGCAGGAGCGTGGCTTGGCCGTCTCCTCCCCAGGGACTGCAGGCCGTCTTGTTTCCGTTCGCAGGAGAGGCAACAGCAGCGGAGTCCTGGTCCACTTCCGTCTCTGGTTCTCCACGGAGGGGCTGCCCAGTCCGGGATGGGAGGAGGAGACCCTGAGGCAGGGCCTGGTGTCTGCGCTGGGCCACCAGGGCATCGCCTTGCCGGGATATGGCACCATCTCTTCAGTTGCCCTCATCGGTATAGCTGGGCACTCCTCGGCTTCCTGGGAGAAAGCAGGGAGGGGGGTGATGTAGCCGATCTGGACGACAGCCCTGAGAGGTGGGCAACCTGCAGGGGTCAGGGCTAGCCTGTCTGAGGCCGTGCCTGAGCAGCAGGTTTTAACTCAAGTCGTTATCCAGCCAGCCTCAGGCTGGCCAGCCAAGATCAACATATCTGCTGCCCTCCCCGGACAGCTAAGAATGGCAGAACTGCAGGGGGCCAGCCCCTGGCTCAGTACAGGATTCCCATTAGGACATCCCCCTTGGATGGCCGCCCAGTTGCACAGAATCATGGGATCATGGGATAAAAGAGTTGGAAGGGGCCATGAAGGCCATTGAGTCCAACCCCTAGATCATAGGATCATGGAATAGTGGAGTGGGAAGGGGCCGTGAAGGCCATCAAGTCCAACCCCCTGCTGCTGCAGGACACCAGTTCACACCCTCCCACTCAGAGTGTTGCCCAGTTTCTTTCGAATGTCCCCAGCGTGGGAGCGCCCACCACCTCTCTGGTCCTATTGCGCTGAGAGAGGAAGCTTTCCCTGACGTCCAGCCTGAACCTGGCTTGCCGCAACTTGAACGGATTATTCCGTGTCCTTCACTCCGGCATCAGCGAGGGGAGATCTTGACCGTCCTCTTTGTGGCAGCCTTGGAGGGACTTCTAGAGGGAGCTCACGTCTTGAACGCCTCTTGAGCGCCTCCAGTGTGGGAGAGGCCACCACCTCCCTGTGGTTCTGCAAAGGTTCCCTTGTCACACTGAGCCAACAGCCAGGAAATGTGTGCTCATACAGACTTCCTTCAACTTGGGCCTGTTATTCCAAGCCCTGCACTCTGGGAGGGTGGAAAGGAGACCTCCATCTTTTGGAGTTTCTTCAGAAAGGAGCGCAGCCCTCATGCTGACAGAGGAGCTTTGCTCTGCACCTTGTGCTGCTCCCCAGGCAAGGCTTGGAGGGTGCCAGACAGAGGCGGACGCATCGCCGCAATTTCTGCATTTGGGGCATCCTGAAGCGATAGGCCTGCCCAGGGTCTGTGGCTCATGAGACGTGCCAATCACAACCCAGAGCAGGAAAGCAGGTCTGAGCTCTGCACCTGTTAACTCCCCCTCCACCATTATTTTTTCTTTTGCAGGGTTAAACCGCATCTTCCCTCCTGGAACAGCCCTGAAATCAGGTATTGTTCCCCTTGCAGACAGGTTGACTGACCCAAGACTCCAGTTAAGGCAGAACTGGAGTTATGAGTTCCAGTTAAGAACTCCAGTTAAGAACTCCTGTTAAGGAAGAATTGGAATAATAAATCCAGCATCTTTTTTATGTAAATAAATAACATAATTTAATGTAAATCAGTTCTAATTAATTAAAACAATTTAATTCCAATCAATTTTAATTAAAATAATTTAATTCCAATCAATTTTAATTAAAATAATTTAATTCAAATCAATTTTAATTCAAATAATTTAATTCAAATCAATTAAAATAAATTTGATTTAAATAAATAAAATAATTTGTTTAAATACATAAATAAATACAGCATCTTCTCCAGACCCGAATCGCGTATTTTCTCTAGCCTTGGTACTTGTGTTTACTGCCTTGTCTATTAGGTTTTTATTCCCCTGTCATAATGTTTTGATGGATCGTGCTGTTTGTGCAATGCCGAAGGCCTTTGCTTAAGAAGGCGAGTGCCTTCCCAATTTGATGGGCCCTTGACCTGCTGCAGGGTTTATTCTGGAGGAAGCCTCCATGGAGTTAAAATAACCCAAAAGCCAGGGGATGCTTCTGCGGCAGTGAAGCAAATCTGAAGGGAGAGGAAACGGAAGCCAATTTTCTCTGGGACTGGCATCCTTGCGGCTTTGATGCGGTGAATTTCTGCTTCTCCAGCAGTCTTCCACAATTCTGGAAGCCCTGCTTATTTGCTCTCTGGCTCCTGAGCTACCAGCAGATGCATCCCGGGGCTTGGAAAGTTCCCACCCCACCTGCTGCCAAGTGAGGCCAAGCCACTTTTCAGGTCAGTTTGCCAGAATATTTATTTATTTAAATTTATTATTATTATTATTATTATTATTATTATTATTATTAT